ATTGGTTAAAGTCTTGTGGAGGAATCACAAAGTAGAGGAAGCAACATGGGAACGTGAAGAGGACATGAGGATTAAGTACCCCAACCTCTTTGCATAATGAAAATTTGAGGATGAATTTTCTTAAGGGGGAGAGTTGTAACATCCTCAATACCGGGTTAGTGACTAAATTGTAAAGTCTCAGAATTTGGTGGTTAAAATAAAATGAATGAATAGTATAAAGATTTACATGTAAATTATTATGTAGGATGGAATTGAAAGGAATAATGAATGGAAGGATAATAGAGTAATTGTAAGGAAAAATAATTAAAGAAGGGATAAGTATGTATATATAAGGATACACGTGGGTGGAAGGGGAGAAAACACCCAAGACTTCCAGAGTTCTCTTCTTCTTTCTTCCTTGTGCGTGTGAACCAAAGCAAATGTAAGATTTCTGATTATTGAATTTCTTGTTAAATTTAATATTGGGTTTTGATTATTAGATGATAACTAAGCTTAAGGAAAGCTTAAGTTATCTTAACATCAAAGGATGATGGAGTTAGGAGAGATTTAAGATTTCAAGTTCTTAATTGAAATCTTGGAATAGAGTTCATATCTAGAATTGAAAGTTAAATTTGACTTGTCATCAATCTAGTTAAGATATACGAAGTGTTAAAAGTGGAATTCAAACATGTTGAATTATTGATGTAATTCTTAAATTGTATATGAATGATAGAATTTGGAGGTTTAAGATGAAATAAATGAGTATAAATTGGTTAAAGGATGTGTAATATAGTTAAGAATGAAAAAGAGGATTAAACATGAAGGATTTAATCCAAAATGAATGAATTTTCGGGTTCAAAAAGAGGATTCTGAGCAGAGTGCATCGATGCATATTCATAGTGCATCGATGCATCAAGGTTAAACCCAGAAAGTGTTTAAAATAAAAAGGACGAATGCAATTAGTGCATCGGTGCATAAGGCATGCATCGATACATCCCATTAATAATAAAACATCGAATGCATTTTATGCACCGATGCACAAGTAGTGCATCGATGCATACCTTCATTAAAAGAGGAAATTGGCATTTATCTTAATCTAAAGAGCGAACCATTAGAGTATATTAGCTATAATGCTGATATGGATCCATGTGTGATTATATAGATACTAAAAGTAAGCTTATTCCGGAACGATCAAAGGATTAGAATCGAATCAAAGCAAAGCTAAGGTGAGTGCATACTATATGTATAGTATAATAGAATAAGACTTGTGATAAGTCTAATTCCTATATTGATTTTCATAGTACAATAGTTGTGAACATGCATACATGATAATTATTGTAATACATGCATAAGGTATATATATGTTCATGTGATTGGATAAATGATGTATATATATGAATAGATTCAAATACACATGTGATATGATATGTGATATGAGAACATGACATGAGCTACATGATCACAAGAGAAATGACATGAGCTACATGATCACAAGAGAAATGACATGAGCTACATGATCACAAGAGAAATGACATGAGCTACATGATCACAAGAGAAATGACATGAACTACATGATCACAAGAGAAATGACATGAGTACATGAACATATAAAATATAAGAATAATGCCCATAGTATACGATATGAGAGCTATAGGTGTAATTGGCATGCCAAGAGTCGAGAGTATAATGGCCCTTCGGGACGTAGTCCTTCGGGATGTAGTGGTCCTACGGGATATATATGGCAGTCCTTCGGGACGAATGCGGAACTAAGGTTCGGTGCCCCATGAGGGAATTGATACAAGCTGTGGTGACAACATTAGTGCACAACCTCAATGCACTCACTTACCTCTATTCTCAATAATATACATGGGCAATTGAAATACAAAGTAAAGTAAAAGTGGTACAAAAAGGTAAGTTTTGTACATGCATGATATGATTATATATGTTATTGTGTAATAGATACATGCATATTGAAATTTCATGAAGGAAATGGTAAGAATGCATATTCATGAAGATATTGTTGCATATTCATTTATTGCCTCACTAAGTCTATGACTTAGCGTGTAGGTGATTTACACGTAGGTACCAGGAAATAAGAAGATTAAGAATAGCAGTTGCACGGACAGCAACATTATTAAGAAATCAGATCAAAAGTAATTGACAAAGTATGTATTTTGTTGTGTATAAAGTGTTGGTATGTAATAATTAGTTAATTACGAATGCTCTGATCAATTTTGTATTAAGTGGTCTCTTTTATGTAAATTAAAGTATTTTGTTTTAATGAAAGTTTTAAATTCCCGGAATTTTTCTTTAAGAATCAAAGTTTGAAAAGTCAATGTGACATCTCGGACTTGTATTCGGGTCGAATATGAGTTAGGGGTGTTACATACATAGTTTGAAGGCATTGTCACTTCGTGCATATTTTAATATTCTTTTTGCATGATTGTATATATTTTCATAACATGTCGATGAGAGGAATTGTTACTACTTTGGTATATTATGATGGTAGAATTATCCGCGATGATTCTCTTGGAATCGTCTTTCAGTCCGTACAAACAACCTCATAGATGTACCGCCAGTAGGCTTACTCAGAATTATCCAAACTTAGATGTTCACGTGCTTTCTGATGCCTTCATACCACTGGTCAAAGTAAATCCACATATTACAGTTTCCAGTTGTATTATTGCAATCATATCTCAGTACGACTACACTGTTAACTATCATAAAGCATGGTATGTTAGGTATCATGCTCAACAAAATGTGTATGGCCAATGGGAAGAATTATACAAAGAATTGCATCCATGGCTGAAACTGGTGAAGAAATACATACCAAGCATGGTCGTCAAACTGGAAACTGTGTTGGTGTATGAAAACAACCGTGTCATACAAGGTGCATGCCCATTTTGCATGCTATTTTGGACATTTTCGTAGTGTGTTAATGCATTTCTGCATTGTAAGTCGATGGTTCAGATAGACGACACTTGGTTGTACTGAAGATATACACAAATAATGTTGTTGGCAGTGGCATAAGATGACAATAGGGAAACAATTCCCATCACATTAGCAATAGTCGAAAAGGAAGATATAGACTCTTGGGCATTCTTCTTCAAGTACTTGCACATATATGCTTTATCACATGTCTTGCGAGAGCGTCTTGTTAGGATATGTCTTATTTCTGACAGAGGTACAGAGATCAGATACGCAATCGAGCATATTAAATCGTCTTGGTAGCCTCCCCGTATTTATCATCGGTATTGTTTACGCCACATTACCGTAAATTATTTACAGAAATTTAGAAACGAAGATAAACACATAATAGTGTTTCGAATGGGTATACCTTTCAATTTATTTGGATTCATATATTTTTTTTTCATTTATTATTTATAATTAACTATTGTATTTTCAATGGGTAGGCCACTCGTAATATGCATGCAAGGTTAACAAGCTGTTTGAAGAATTAAGACCCTTGAATCATGAAGGCTTCAACTACTTTGTTAAAATCCTAATGGAGAAATGACTTCAGTCATTTGATGGGGGCAGATGATATGGTCACATGACAACGAATTTGGTTGAGGCAATCAATTCATTACTGAAAGGAGTGCGACATTTGCCTATCACTTCTATTGTCAAAGTGACATATTATCGTTTGACAACTATGTTTGCAATCTTTAGAAGGCAAGCAGATGAGTGGATTGCAGGTGGTCACATAATCCACCCAGACTTCCATAAAAAATTGCAAACCTTTCTGCATCACTCAAACGCGATGAGTGCGACATGCGTCTTTTATACAAATCAATTCTATGTTTCAAAATATTCTAGGCCATTCGAAAGCATACAACACAATGCATACGTCATTAATCTACGTGACAGAACATGAGACTGCAGAGTATTCCAAACATTCAAATATCCATATCTTCATGTAATTACCGCTTGTTCTTCTCTAAGGATTGATTACGTGCAGTTCGTTGATTGCGTGTACTTACTAAAAACCGTATCTAATGTGTACCAATACGAGTTTCCTCCGATTAGAAACGAAAGGGATCCGGATGCAGTTGATGATGAACCTACAATACGTCCAGATTTCACACTACAATGTCAAAAAAGAGGTCATTCACGTTCAACGAGGATTTATTGTGTTGAAGATTTGGTCGACCATCGAGAAAGAACCGGACTACCGAACCTTTGTATTATTTGTAGGAATCCTAGCCACTCGAAGAACAAATGTCCTAATCGATCACGCCCTAATCTCGAATAGTTTGTTAGCATATTTTTCATGCGAAAAACCTAGCTTTAGAACCTTTTTGAACACAATTTTTACCCCAATAAAAAATGTCTCGTGTGTGCCAATATTACTCTCGATCAAAAAAATAAGTTACGATATTACACCTATACTCTTAGAAATTGTGCAAATTTTTAGATTAACTACCAGAAAACCCCCTCAAATATGCCTATACAACCATTTTGTCATTTCCTTCATGCACAAAACAAGCTTTTAAATCATTTTCAACTCGATTTTCAACCTTCTCGTGATATCTCGTATGTCTCTATATTTGTCTCAATTGAAATAAAAATTCGAATACTTCGCCTCTAATCTTTTAACTATCTAAAATTTTGAGATTAAATACCCGAACATGCTTATCAGCACATGGAATTTGTGCTGGAAAACAAAGACCTCACGCTTTAGAAAACGCAAGGCACCTTGAATACTACTCGCGATAAATTTCTCGGGGCGGTTCATTTTCTCAAAAACCTTGTTTTACGCAAAACGTGAGGTATTAAATATCAATATTAAATTATGTCCTCTGAAAATGTCATCCACGTCGGACATTCCTCACACCTTGTGGATGGCGAGACACGTTCCCGCGCTAAATAAAACACGAAATAATCATACGTGTGTAATTTAAAGTATTTTACTAACAAATCTGCTATGGGGTTACGGTTAGAAAAATAAGTAATGGTTGGTTTTTAATATAATATTGCCAAGTTGCGTGCTGCTTCCGAAAATAAAATAAAAAGTGTCTTTTAAAGCCACCCAAGATCGAAAAATTAAAATCCACCCCTCTCAGACTTTATCCGATTGTTAGGGTTTTTTAATTTCACCGATTACCTTTCTGATAATCCCGAATTTCAGTTATCTAAACGATGCCCTAGAATCCTCGGATCAGGTAACGTCTCCAATCAATCATCTCCGTTTTATTTTCCTCTTTTGTGTGTGTTAAAGATCGTTTCTTTGTCAGCTGTTTGATTGATCTTAGATGTCCTGGTCTTGGATTTTGATTATATGCATATGATCAAAGTTTATATTTAATTTTGAATTAAGAATGTTTTCTTCTGAAGAAACGGCACGGAATTTAACATTTAAGGTTAACTTGTCTTTGTTTATTTATCAGATAAAGTAGTTTAGATTCAAGTGAATTTAATCTAAATAGTCAATCTATAGTTTTCATATTTGGGGTTATCGATGATGATATATGTAATTAATTTGTTGCTAACTTTTCTGGGTGATTTATTGTTTATCTTTTATTTTCTTTAGTAATCTTTGCGGAATTTGGAGATCAATCTGAGAATCTGCAAATTATGCTTTGACATTGCTAGGCCGAATATCAGTTGTTGCAAACAAGTTTGTTTCTTGTAATTATTATATTTCAGAATGATCTTCCTATTCTTTTATTTGCTTTTTTGTTTTGCTAGGTTTGTTAGTAGTCTGTTTTACTGATTAACTTGTTGATGGTAATCATTGAGATGCTTTATTTTTGTTTAGTTGCTGAATCAAATTGTATTTTTTTTTTGTTTTACCTGAAAATTATTCTTATTCTTGATGGGTGTATGTTATATCAAGATATGCTAAATCTAATGTTATTTCTCGGTGTTTTTAGGTCTGAGCTTGTGTTTGTATGGCCTCTTTGATCATCTAAGTTTCATGTCTGATCTTGACGTTCAAATTGCTACTGCTTCTGGTATGCTTCCATCATAACTTGATTTCTAATATTTGCTGTCATTTTTTATCTCTCTGTTGTTGTTAATATGGGTGTAACTTATGTATTTTCTGTGTTAGATCCCTTTGATGATGCAAATGCTGAGGACACGGGTGCCGGCAGAAAGGAGTACGTGCATATTCGAATTCAGCAAAGGAATGGTCGGAAGAGCCTGACAACTGTCCAGGGGTTGAAGAAAGAATTCAGCTATAACAAGATACTAAAAGATCTAAGGAGGAGTTTTGCTGCAATAGCAGTGTCCAGGACCCTGAATTATGATAGGTGTGTCTATAACCCCTTACTAAGAGATTATTTACATTGTCAGTATTCTATTATTTGTATTCGGTTGCTAAGTTTGTCAGTCATGTCACTGTATATATTCAGGTTATTCAACTTTAGGGTGACCAGAATAAGAATGTGTCAACCTTCCTCGTTCAGGTATTCGTTATTGCTTTGAATATCTTGATGTCTTAAGCGAGTTTATGCAAAAGCACATCGGACTCTGTGTGGTGTTTGATTTCGTAATTGGCATCCGTGTTTGTTTTTTATCAGGCTGGCATTGTGAAGAAGGATAACATCAAAATCCATGGTTTCTAAGCCTGCAGCCTCGTGGAGTATTCCTCAAAGTCGTGCGTCTTGTGACAAAGCAGGGAGCAACTGTCTGTTTAGGTTCTACCCTGAATCCTTCTAGAGGAACACCCTAAACTCTCACACACAAAACAAGAAGAAAGGCTGGAGGATTAATTTGTATCATACATTTAACTATGAGAATGTATTTAGGGAAGCTTTCATATCAGATCCAGTGTAAGCTTCTTAAGATTAGGCACGTGACACAAAACTCCACAGTCCTGGTCGCATTCCAATCTCCTTCAGTATTCAGAAGTTTCAGTTCAACAAGGTTGTGAAATGCAAGCCCTGCTTCTACACAGCTTCCAAAAAGCTGCACAACAACAACACTTGAACTTTTATATTGATGTTAATAGAAAACTCTTTGACATTCAAGACAATGACTCAAAATATAAGTTCACTAACCGTTTCAGCAACATTAATGAGCAAAGTCAGATCTTGTACATCGCAAATTGCTTGAAAAAGATGGGTTGCACCACGTACATGACCCACACCAGATGTTGCACTCGCACCCATATTAGATGGCAATAAGACCAGCGTTGTATGGATCAGAATGTTGGGCAACCAATAAGGATCATATAAGGAGGATAGAGGCTGTAGAAATGAGAATTCTTCGATGGACATGCGGTAGGACCCTGTGGGATATGACAACAAACTCTGCTATTAGGATGTCTTTGGGGGTGGTGCATGTTTTCGAAAAATTGAGGGAGGGAAGACTACGGTGGTTTGGGCATGTCCTTAGGCGACTACCGTCAGATGCGGTCAGGAGGGTAGAGTCGATTACAATCGACGGTGCCAGAAGGAGAGGACGACCAAGGCGGAAATGACTGCTTGAGATCTGATTTGATGGATTTAGCCCTTACCGAGGACATGACCTCTGATAGGAAAGTATGGAGACTTAAGATTAGGGTAGTCGAGTAGTGTGGGTCACATCTCTAGGGTGTATCATCTCTGTCTTCTTTTAATGCCTTTGTAGTAATTTTCATAACTTCTACTTTTTATACGTTTCTGTTATTGGTATTTATGAAGGCTTAGAGCTGGGCTTGCTATCGTTGATTTCTGTGTAACATTCTCTTCACTTTTAAATTTAGTCGGGTCTTACGTTTTTGTCTATATGCAGAGATTTTTTCGCAGGGATTTATTTGTAAGGATTACTGTCCATTACAAACGCGCATATGATATTAATGACTGCATATGAATACTGTTCAACTATGTATTTACGTATTTATTTATACATGCATTGCATTTTATCTATATTTTTAATTTTCTGACTGTCAGAGGTCTTCCACGGAAGTTACTCTCAACCTGGCGTTGGGGGCAGCCTACTACCCTACCTCCCCCTTACCCCATTGCATATGGGAATTGGGTTTTGTTGTTGTTGTAGATGGATAGATGGAAATATAAGCTTTTTCTAGACAACAAATGTTACTAAAAGTATAGCCTTCGGCTATTATCTCAGAGCACCGTAAATAGACGAGACTCGGGGTGTTAATCTCAACCACATAATTTACATATCCTGCACTTTCGATTAACATCGCTAGAGAAGTTAAAAACAGAGTCATGAGTGAAAGATTATGGATGCTAAGCACAGTTGTTTTACAAAAATCACATACATCAAGAGACAAATCTTCTAGAACATGGCAACTGGAAATTAACTTAAGAATTGAACCATCTAGGAATACGAGATTTGTAAGATGTAGAGTCTTGAAGTTTGGTAAACAGGCATTAGTCGGAACCTTCATTTCGCCATCGATGTTCAATTTCAGTGTCTGCAGTGATTGGCTAGTGAAGAGAAGAGTGGGGAATAAGGGGCAGTTCTCAGATTCAGAAGATATAACGATTTCCTTAACAGCACGCCACAGTACAGCAGATAGACAACCATAGAGGCGTAGAGAATCATTATCTCGCGAAGTAGGACTAGGATCATGCAGGTTAAGGCATTCTAAACTCACCTGATTGGGGAAAAACAGTAACCTATCAACAAAGCTCCAGAAACTGTTGAGATTTCTGGGAGGCGAATCACGAAAGCAACTATCGAATATCAAGGGTAGACATGGAAGGGAAGAGATACCTCCATCTGTGTGAAAGAATAGATGTTCGAACTGCATCTTTAGTGGGGAGGAAGTACATGATGTGACAAATAATAGGATCAGGCAAACTACTGATCCTGTCCAACTCACCCACAGATTTCACTTGCTTGGCCATTGACACAATGAAGAAGCAATTCCATCTGAACTATCAGTCACCAAAAAATGACCCTATCGAATCAGGTTGGATCAGAATCCGTCGAATTCGAGTTAAATTGTCACTCTAAAGGGGTGAGCATTCGACCGAGTTGAGTTAAAAAATTTCGAGTTATTCGAGTTGACAAGTCGTATTTTATCACTCAAACTTAACTTGAATTTTTTTTTAATCGAGTCGAGTTTAAAAAATTTGAGTTTTATTCTAGTTTCTATACTAATTTTATTATAACCATTTATAGTATTATAGTAAGGATTAGTTCTAAATTTTCGACTTTCTCTAATCATATATATATATATATATATATATATATATATATATATTTCATATTTTTTTCACATTATAATATTATTTAATATATCAAATATAATATAAATTTATAAAATATATTTATAATATTATATTTTTTTTATTTTGAGGCTAGAATATTAATGAGAATATAAAAAAAGTAAAGGAATTGAAAGAAGAAAGAGTCCGCAAACAATTACAGTGAAAAGACGAAATTAAGTAAAATGTAATGTTAAGGGTCTAAATAAAAAAGAAAATGTACATTTTTAGTAAAAAAATAAGAATTAAAGTTACATAGATATTTTACAGTAGTATATGACATGTGGTTCAAATTGGATAAAAACAAACTTAAAATAAAAGATGAACCGTAGAAATAAGAAAATTATAAAAAATTGAGAGACTAAATTAAAAAATAAAAAAAAAGAATTGAAAGTAAATATATATTTTATGATAGTTTAGTAGAATGTGGTTTAAATTTAGTTAAAAATAGACTTAAAATGGAGGAATTGAATGAATAATGAAATCATGGATTAAATCATAAAACTGTCAAAATACATAGTTTATTTTTTGATTTTTCGAGTAACTCGAAATTTTCAAATTTCAAATTGACTTGAACTTGAAAACCGAATTGATAATTCTAATTTAAATAACTCGAAATTAAAAAAATTCAATTTTTTGAACCTAGTCAAATTTTGATCAACCCTAACCCCTAACTATATTACTCTGTTTAAGATCAGTACCATTGTTTATCCAGCCATTTATTTATTTTAGGCACTTCAAATTAATGAATTGAAATCCAAGAAGCGACATATAGTTGATCAACCACAACTAAAAATAGGAAAAAGGAAAACTGAAAAACTTTATTACACAAATTAGAACACCATAAACTTTACCTTGTCCGAAGCAACCGCAGAGAAACTAGAGGAACAGAACTTTGGTCCACTTTATATCCCTTTCACTTCTCCCGTGTAACCTTTCAATCCCTTAACTTCATAGGGGATTTCACTCGTAATTCTCTCCTCTTTGCCACGTGGTCGCTGCGTGGCATTCACCCCCCCACAACACCTTCTGTTTGCCTCCGCCTCCACCTCCGCCTCTGCCTACTTACTCTCATGTAATTGCCATGATTGTAAAGGTAAAAAAAAATGCAAGCTTGAAATTGCCATGGATGAAACTCATGTATATTGCGTTTCTATTTATCCATTTAAGAGTTCAGATATGTTATGGTGCTACGGATTATGACGATGACTATTCCGATGACGACGAGAAGCCGGCGTCACCGCCCCCGGCGCAAACGAATTGTAATGGTGTGTTCTTGACCTATACGTTCATCGAAAGGATTAAAGAATTACCCTACCTGAAAAACGTTTCGGCTCAATCATGGGCATTTAAATCCACGGCCACCATAGTGAATACCGGGTTGGAAGAGGTAAAAGGATGGAAGATATTTATTGGGTTTCAACACAGAGAGATATTGGTGTCGGCAAACAACGCCGTCCTCGTCGACGGCGCCGGGGATTTTCCGGCCAATGTTAGTAAGGGAGCAACCTTAGCAGGATACCCCAACGCGGATCTTCAGACCTCGGTTGATACTGCTGCAGATTATACGAAGATGTCGGTTCAGATCGATTTGACCGGCACGATGTTCGGAATGAAAGAGAAATCGATTCCGTTGCCGAAGTCGATCAGGCTGGTTAACGATGGCTGGAAATGCCCTAAGCTTACTAAATATCGTAAGTTTTTTCCTTTTTTCCACTCTTGTTCGAAATTAGGTTTTGTTTTTGCATGAGACATGCATGGAACAATTTTACATAGTTGTTTGGTTTTACAGCTACGTATATGTACTCGTGTTGCAAACAAGACCCAAAATACAAGAAAAAGAGTAGTACCAACAAGTACGCAGCAAGGCAATATGGGGACGTAAATTTCGTGTATGATGTTCTTAAATCTTATGAAGGAAGCTACGAGGCTCAAGTAACCATTGACAATGACAATCCCTTAAGTTGCCTTTCTAAGTGGAACTTAACTTGGGAATGGATGAGGGGCGAGTTCATCTATAGCATGAGAGGAGCCTACACTCGGAAAATCGATTATTCCGAGTGTATTTTCGGCTTACAGGGCCAATACCTAAGCGGTTTTGATTTCTCCCAAGCGATGAACTGCGAGAAAACGCCGGTCATATCCGATTTGCCGCCCGACAGAGCCAACAACTCACAGGTTGGCCTTGTTCCTTATTGTTGTAGGGATGGTTCACTTTTGTCACGGGTGATGGATAAAAACAGAGCAAGGTCTATATTCCAATTAAGGGTATACAAAATCCCCCCTGATGTATCCAAAACCGTGCTGTACCCACCTCAAAGATGGAATATAACCACCTTGGTCAGTGCCGAATACAAATGCAGTCAGCCGGTTCGAGTCGACCCAACCGAATTCCCCAATTCGACTGGACTTGACGCCAAGACATACGCCGTAGCAAGCTGGCAAGTTGTCTGCAACATGACGAAACCGGTGAAGAAGGAAGCAAAGTGCTGTGTTTCGTACACGGCTTATTACAGTGACGCCGCGGTGCCGTGCAGTACTTGTGCATGCGGATGTGATGATCTTAATACCGATAAATGCAACCCCGATGCTAAGGCGATGGCGCTTCCAACGGATGCTCTTTTGGTTCCTGCCGAAAACCGGACTCTGAAAATTAAAGCCTATGCGTCATTGAAGCACAAGGAAATCCCGAAAAGGTTGCCTTGCCCTGATAATTGTGGGGTTAGCATAAACTGGCATATCATTTCGGATCATAAGGGCGGATGGACGGCTCGGATAACTCTGTTTAACTGGGGAGATGAGCCGTTTAAAGACTGGTTCGTTGCTCTTCAATTCAAAAAGGCTTTCCCCGGTTACGACAGTGTATATTCTCTCAATGCAACCAAGTTGAAGTCCCCTAAGAACACCATTTTCATCCAGAGTTTGAAAGGTTCGGAATATTTGGTTGGAGAGGTAAATGGTTCCAGTAGTGGTAAGCCTAGGATTCCTGGCAAACAACAATCCGTCATCGGATTCACCAAGAAGAACATTCAAGGACTCAACGTTAAAAAAGGCGACGGATTCCCTTCCAAAGTCATCTTCAATGGGGCCGAATGCGCGTTGCCCGCTCATTTCCCCAACGCCGCAACCCGAAGCTCTCCCGTTTCATACACGGCTGTTGTCTTCTTGTCGATCGTTACTTTCTTGCTGCTGATGACAGATCATTTCCGTTGACGATGATGATGATCATTGGGTGGTCTTCTTTTTATTTTTCCTTTTACTTTTGTTTTTCGCTTTGTAGTGTATTTTCTTTTAGTAAGTATTTAAAACTCAAAACAAATTGAACAAAATTCATCAATCATGAGCATATTATAATTATGAACTTTGATTTGTTGTTTTAGGGAAATCAAATAATGCATTTGCCGATTGATTGAACAAAGTTCCAGGACGGATGAGAAGGGCGGGGAAATCTGATCATTGACAAGGGAAATTCCATGTTTTATCCAAGATTTAGATGAAAATATTAGGTACGAAAAATAAATCGGAATTAAAAATTAAACAGCTTGAAGTCCGACCTACTTTTCTGTTATGCAATATATTACTTTTATATGTATTGTAGACACCCGTTTTTATTCGGGTCTCGAGAAAAAATATATTAATTATATTATTATTATTATTATTATTTTATTATTATTTTGTTTTACATTTTTTGTAGGCCCGAAAGTGGAGCCCAATGATACAACCCAATCCCATACAATTGACCCAACTCATCATCCCAATTACAACTAACCCAAAACCCGGATGACCCGATCAACTAGACTCGAACCGGCCTAAGATCCAGCCCAGCATCTAACCTAGAATCTCTTAGGATTTCTAATGATTTCCTAACACTGCATCATCAGGGACCGTCTAATATGGACCCATCCAACAGTCCAGATCAGTGGCCATTAGGGTTTTTACCGCAGCTCCAATGTTAACAACTGTCGTCGCTTGCTTTTTTAGCTTCCCAGCCATTCGCTCAAGCCGAGTCCTATCCTTGCCGACTGTCTCTGACGTCGCCGTTGACAAGTCTGCACCCAACAGTGACAATCAACAGTGAGATGGCAGAGAAATCAGAGAAAAAAAAAGCAAATCTCAATAAAATCCCAAGACAGATTGGGTTGTCAATCAAGCAACAGAAAAGGGTAATGATACCCTCTTCCCTCAAAGGAGAGAAGGGAACATAAAATGAAAGAAGAAGAAGAAAGAGAGGGAAATAAAGGGATTCGGGGGTTTTGAAAAAAAGAGAGGAGGAATCGAGGGAGAGAAGAGAAAAAAAAGGGTAAGAGAAAAAATCACTCAAACCAAATAAGAAAAATAGAAAGAGGGAGTTCTTATCGTGGGTCGAAGCCAGTCGAGAGCACTAAGGGTCGTCAGAGGCTTCGTTTTTCCTAATGGTGCGTTTGGTTCACAGAATGTAAGATTATCAGTGGGAATAAAAGATTATCAGTGGGAATAAAAGATTACCAGTGATAGGATTACTGGGAATGTTACATTACTGTGTTTGATTGAAGGAATAAAAGATTACTGGAATGTATATTTTACCAAATTGTCCTTATTCTATATTTTTAACAAGTGAAATTCTAAATATATAAATAAAAATTATTTATATAAAAATTCTACATGTTGATAATATATTACTTGAGTATTTAAATATATAATGTATTATTTTATTTTTAATTAATATTAAATTTTACATAATTTATGTAAAAATATATTAAAATTTTACATCAACATTTAACTAAATATTTACATTGTGGAAATTAGTTTCGATTCATACATGACGCATTCACTGGGAGGTTTCTTGTATTTTTCAATCGACAATGTTTACATTCTAAATAGGTGAATCGCCGACGGCCAACAAAACTACTTTATTTTCATTAATACTGTTAAATATGTGTTTATGAATCATGGAGAACAAAGAATACCCTTTGTTAAATATCGTAAGAAAAAGAACAATTGTGTTATTATTTTCCTAGACATTGAGCCAGAAGTTATGGAAAAGAGAATAATGAAATAAAGTGAAGCTTAACATGTCTTTGAAAAACAGAGTTGTTATGTTCCAAGATAGTGAACATAAGAATCAATTCTATTTTGAAGACATATAGAGCTAACCTTGCAAAAAAAATGATCATACATGAAAAAGAAAAAGAATCCATAGCTACCATTTAAAAGATGATGTTAAGTTGCAGGCGATGTTCGAGCCCTTATATGTCCAACCATGGAAACCTGAAGAGCCTCCTATTAATATGCTCTCCTCGCCAACTCCTTCATTCTTGCTTTCTTAACTTTAACAAACATCGCCACTAAAAACAACCCCAAAAGGAAAACCCCCAAAGCAGCTCCCATCGAGCATCCCACCACCAGTTTCCATTGCATATTCTTCCTCACAGCCAACGACTGCGGCGACTTCACCATCAAACCAAACTGGCCATGCCTGCTTGCCACACAAACGTTGGGTGATACTTGGTTCTTCAATGTTACTTTTCCATTTCCTTCAAAACTAGCACAGAATGGCAAGAATCCTGTGATGTTGGATGCCTTTGTAACGTTGCTGAAATCAATTTTAATAGGTTTGTCAATGGCAAGAATCCCAAGCTCGAAAGGGCTACCAAGGATCGGTTTGCATACTCATCGATGTTCCCACCAGCTGCTGCTAGCTGCATACTCTTCATCCTTTCTCTGATTGCATCCAACGTGCCACTGGCTACTGTACATTCAACAACTTCAATGGTGAATCCAAAAAATGTATACATGGGAACAATATTGCAACGGTAACAATAAATAATAATAAAAGACTAGTAAATTACCACCACTCATAAGTCTCTCATTTCTTTGGTCTGCCAATGTATTTTCAGGGGCACGAACTCTTGCTGTATTCATAGCATTACCAGACCCCCGGTTGTGTTCAGCATATGATGGTGGCAAATTAAAGTTTGTTGGTTCAGGTTTTGTGCTTAATGATTTAGAATCATTTAAAGAGTTGGTCTGTACAGGGGACAGAGGCACAAATTCGGGCGATGAAGCATTAAGAGATGCAGGGGGAGGGGTAGCCATCGGTACACTTGAAGGAGTCCTTCCAGCAGCAGCATTCTTCTCCATCTGCAACTAAAACTCATTAACAAGCACATCATCACATCTAGCCATTAAAATTTTACTCTGCTACGTAACAACACAAACCTGAGCCAAGTCATCTCTAATATAAGTCTGAAATGCCTCACTAGCATTTTGGAGCTGAGCAAATATATCAATCTAAAAAAATACGAAAAATCAGTCTCCACAATTTTCTTAGCTACCTTCAGAGATGCACAATAGAAACTATATTAATTACCTTGGGGTATAGCTGAGTGATGCGATAAAGCTCATAGAGATCAATGGTGCATGTCTGCTTGTCACCAATTTTCTTGAATATTGCTGCGAGCTCTTGCTGTAAGAAGACATAAGAAGAAGATTTTAAGAAACAGTAAATATCATAACACTAATACAAACATATATAAAGGTGAATCACAACTTCAGTTATGGTCAAACATCAAGTATAGAAATAAAATAATACTTTTAACTGGGCATCTGCAGAATTTGTGGCAGGTACTGGATTGTTGACTCCAGAATCACCCCCAATGAGTTTGACCAGGGCCAGTTGACGTCAACATTCTTGTCGCAACCAAAGTCTGTTAAATTAAACACATAAGGGTTACCGGAAGTTACGAAAAATATGCTGTCACATAAAACCTAAGAAATTTGAATAGTCAATCATTATATTTATAAGTACCTCAAGATTGAGATCAATATAAGCGAGAATAATTGGTGGACGCTTCATGTCTATGGGCACCAATTAAACATTCTTGTCTATAGCCTCTTCCGGCCGCCGCGAATGTAGCCGAAGGAGAGAGACTCATTCTTTTCCGACGAGGAAGGTTGAGAGAGCTCACAAAACTCTTTTTTTTTTTGAACAAAGAAGCAAATGAGGAAGGTAAAAAAACAACCTCATTTGGGCTTAAATACTCTGACCAGAACAGTATCGTTTTGGTACCAATCGAAAAACGTAGTTTCGTCTTTTCTTTTTCTATGTGTTTTTGTGGTTTAGGAGAAAATAGCAATGTCAGTCCCTATAGCTTTGTAACGTTCTATTTCAGACTTTTAATGAAATTTCATTTCATTTTATTTCAAACACTTATGTTTCATTACTTGGAATTTAGTCACTGATTTCATATGTAATGTATTATTACTAATATTTGATTTTGGTTATGATATTTGTAAATATTTCGTTTTAGTCACTGATATCGTGTTTTGTGTATTTTTGTGGATGTTTGAATTTGGCTACAATATTTGTAATTTATTATTTTAGTCACTGTGTGGGCATTTGGTTTAACTATTATCTGATCCTTTATGTTTCCGTTCATTTCATTTTGATCCCTAATATGATTTATGGGTTATTTTTATTTATAGTACCTGTATTGTTTAATATTTTCATTTAATTATATTTATTATTCAATCCTTTAAATTTTTGTTTGTGTTATTTTAGTCTTTTAAGTTTCTTTTTGTGCTATTTTAGTCCTTTAAGTTTATGTTTTTGCTATTTTTGTCCTTTAGGTTTTTGCTTTTGCTATTTTGGTCCTCAAGTTTCTGTTAATCATATTTTGGTCCTTTAAATTTTTTATTGTTATGATTTAATCCCTTATGAATTTATATATTTAACATGTTGTATATTTTTAGGTATAACATTAAATAAATATTATTATTTTATGTTGTAAATATTTGATTTTACATTTCTCATCGTATTTGTTTCTATTATATTTCCTTAAATATTAATATTATTTGAATATTTCAAGAACACGTATCCATAGAATGAGCGTGGAAAGTACCACTTGATCGAAGTGGTGCGATTCGGTACGGCATTTTAACGACATAGAAACTTGAAATAAGTCGAGTATATTCTACTAATTAATTTGTTCGAATGATGCAATGTGTGTTATTTTAAGTAATGATTTACTTTATTTTATGTGAATGAAAACATTGATTTTTTAATTTTTATTCGATTCACATATTTATCAATGAGGGAATATTTTTTACGGATAAAAAATAGACGATACCATTTTTGTCTTAAAAAGCAATTTTTCTTTAAATTGTTTTTAAACGACGTTTTTAAGTCTTCGACCTACCTAACCCAAAGGTCGATGACGACTCTTATCCTATTTAATTCAAATCAATACAAAATCATTAATTTTTCAAAAATAAAGTCATAATTATTTTTAAAAAAATATTTTAATATTTAAAAAAAAAAATGGTTATGACATGTATCATGCAACTGTAAGGATTAAATATATAATATTAAAGTGTGAACCCATAGATTCAAACTTCTTGACAAGTTTTAGCTGCTCTATTTCAAAAGAAATCATTTTCCCCGTTTTTTCTTTTTAATTGTTTCTGATTCTAATGCTTCATAATGGTGAAAAAATCAATGAATAACTTGAGGAAGAAGGAACTTCGATATAAACCCAGAGCTTAAATACATTCTTCTTCAGACAAATTACTAGGATCAATTGTTCTTGGAAAACCATACCCTGTCATGTGAAAGCAAATTCCAGTAACGTATACAAGATGTTCCCAAAGGATAAGTAAATAAATATTATTGCATAAGGAGAAGCAAAGCATAAACCCTCACTAAAGCAAGTAATATAAATGATTCAAAAGAGTGTTCTAGTAAATTATGATGTTCTGAAGGATCTTTACGTACTTACATCTTATAACTATAGCATGGAGAAAGATATATGTTCTGCACCATAAGGCAAGAAATCCAAAGGAAAAGGGATAGAATATGGAAAAGAAGCAAAAACTTCTCTGCCACAGTTTGTAAAGTTCCCGTGCAAATTGTCCTACAAAAACCCATGTCTTGGCACCCACTGTTGCCAACCCTAAAGTTCAGATTGGATCAGTTTTGAGGTTCAAAAACAGTTTGTCCATTGTTTGTGCTCCTTGCATTGCAATGGCTATCTCCATTTTTATACCAGATTATCAAAGAAAAGCCTATAATGTATTAGGGTTGGGGATTTGTTTCATGGTGCTGATGACAACGAAGGGTTATGCAAGAGATTTCTCAGTGAATTGGGGCCTTCACAATGCTGATAGTTACAATCAATGGGCAGAAAAGAACAGGTTTCAGATTGATGACTCACTTGGTAACTTCTTTCAACGGGTTTTGATTTCAAATCCTGATATTTGTATTTCTTTTTTCGATCTTTAATTTGTTACGTGTTTGATAATTTATGTCACAGTGTTCATCTACACACCAAAAGATGATTCAGTGCTTCATGTCAACGAGGAGGCCTACAAAAACTGCTGTGTGGAATCGCCACTCTCCAGCTACACCGATGGTCACACTGTTTTCTCATTGAGTCATTCCGGTCCTTACTATTTCATCAGCGGAAACAAAGGCAACTGTGAAAAGAATGAGAAGTTGGTGGTGGTTGTTTTAGCCGACCGGAGTAACTGTTCTTCGACCACAAATGGAACAGCCCCTCCTCCTCCTGCGCCTTCTAGTTCAATTGACATAATTCCACCTCTGGCACCTTCCGTAGAGTCTCCTGCTGCGTCTCCGCCAGTCGAAAAACCTTTCGCGGAGTCTCCTTCTGCGTCTCCGCCAGTCGAGAAACCTTCAGCGGAGTCTCCTGCTGCGTCTCCACCTCCCGAAACTGCTGAAACTAACCCTACACCGGCACCGAGTGGTGAATGTCCACTAAATGCAGCTTCTTCAGTATTCATGAGTGTTACTGGTTCTATGGGAGCAATATTTGTTGCTTCAACTCTTTTTTTAGCATTCTGAAAGTAAGATGTCAGTCACGAATTTGATTCCTTCCCCAGAGAAAATAAATGAATTTTATACTGTGTGGATTTCAATATTTTAAAGTTTTTTTTTTGTTATGACCCGTACTCATCTCGGACATATATTTGAATACAATATAGTGCAGATAAAATGTTGAAATAGAAGATTTTAAATGGTGGCGAAAAAGTTTTTCTTGTGTTTCGACTACTTGGAGGTAATGCTCTATCTGAAAATGCAATAAGACACTTAAAAAGGGACATAGAGAAAAAGGGTCACAGGGACCCTACTAAGGAGATGCAGTTATCGTCTCTAATTCTTGGGGCCTAATGAGATTAATTCTAGCCAATAGAAGATTTTAAATGGTGGCGAAAAAGTTTTTCTTGTGTTTCGACTACTTGGAGGTAATGCTCTATCTGAAAATGCAATAAGACACTTAAAAAGGGACATAGAGAAAAAGGGTCACAGGGACCCTACTAAGGAGATGCAGTTATCGTCTCTAATTCTTGGGGCCTAATGAGATTAATTCTAGCCCGAGTGCTTGTTACCAAATTTAAACCCAAATTGTTTTGGGCCACCAACACACCGACTTGAACAAAAGAATTAGACCCAAGTAGTGAAGTAAGAGAGGGATTGACGCTTATAGGAAGGGAAGTGATTCGTCCGACTGCTGAGCCGAATCACGTGGTTCTGGTAAGGCGGTAAAACACTAGAAGAAATCGGGTTGTAAGAACATAAACCACAGTTGCCCGAAAAAAAGGTAAGATTTCACGTATGTCGGGAACTGATACTGGAGTTGGAAACTGAAATATAGGAAAATTCTAAAAGACGCGCGTTGGAGGAAAGGATTCAATTAGCTCTTAGAATTGCCTTTTAAGTTAGACAGGGATCATAGTTTGCCAGATCCTATTATTTGTCACATCTCCTCCCCACTAAAGATGCAGTTCGAACATCTATTCTTTCACACAGATGGAGATATCTCTTCCCTCTATGTTGTGATGAAACTATAATTAAATATTGACAGTGGTCAAAATATTGAATTATTTAAAAAGTATATATAAAAATTTATTAAGTATATAAACTCAAAACTCAAAACTCAACAATCTTAGTGGATTGTTGTTATCATTGAAGTCTCGAGTTCGAGCACTGCTCATGTGGGGGCATGAGCGTTTATTGTTAAATAATTGAGTTTTTGTACATATATTATATTGTATTTACCCTAGATTTATATAAAAAAACTCAAAATTTACTAGATAACATTTAATTTGTGTAATATTAAAACTTGCAATGACCTAAATTGTTATTAGACTAAAATTTTTGAGAACATGGGGTCGTTCTTTAGTTCGGTCATATCTAATTAAATATTTAATAAAATTTTATATTGTTTTAATTAAAATAATTATTTTTCATGAACTAAAATACTATTAGACCAAAATTATATCAAATATATAAATTTAACAGGAGTCGGGCCCCTTTGGACCCTCATTATGCTCCGCCCCTGCTTCCATGTCTCCCCTTGATTTTGATAGTTGCTTTCGTGATTCGCCTCCTAGAAACGTTAATAGTTTGTGGAGCTTTGTTGATAGGTTAATGTTTTTCTCAATGATAGAGTGTTTTATTTAGCTAATATTTTGTTATTAATTAAATTATGTTATCTCATTTTATAGTGTTAATTTGGACTGTTTTGATTCGAATTTATGAATGAATTTATTTTTCTTTCAGGAAATAACAATTAAAAGGTAAATTAAACAGATTTTCACTTATTTGGGAAAAGTTGACACCAACTCAAATTCAAAGTTCGATCCTGTTGAAAACATTTTGATGTTTCGATATAACAAACTAAGCATAAATGAATTTTAAGATTTTACAAAATATTTTCTAAGAATATTCGATATAATTATTCGAATATCAAAATATTACTCCTAGTCTTTCAAAGATCATTTTTAAACCTTACTAAAGTGTAATTTTTGTTTTATACTTAAACCATTTTTGAAACAATTTTCACAAAGTATTTTGACCAAAAAATAAGCCAAAATTCCAGATTGTCCAGAGGGAACAGATTCCCCCCAAGGGGGTACCGATGAATGGTTTGGCTCCGAGAAATAACAGATTGCTCGGAGGGAACCGATTCCCCCCCAAGGGGGTACCGATTCCCCCTTGTTAACGGACGAAATATTTGAATTTTACACTTAGGGAACCGATTCCTTATGAGGGGGTACCGATTCCCCCCACGCTCCAAGCAGTTTTATTAATTGTTTTCATACTTAAACGACTCCATTGACTCCACTAATCATCCCCAACGTTCAGAATCAATTGAAGGAGTATTTAAACAAGCTTAGAAGCCATTGATCAACAACACGAAACAACAATCAACAAGAATCAAGAGAGAATCAAAGAGAAAACATCAAACCTCAAGTTTGAGCATTTTCAAGCCTATTTCATTCAATATTCATTTTTGCTTTCAAGAACACTTATTGTGCTCAATTGTATTATTCTTGAGTGTTTTTTCTTTGTTCTAGAATTGTGCAAACAATCTACATTGTGAGTTTTCCTTGTAAGTTTGCAAATTTGTGTATTTCTCTTTGAAAAAGAGTGTGCTCAAGAATTTGGGGTATAATTCTTGAGGGAGTTGTAAAGTTACTATTTGTCCTTAAAAGAAAGAACAAATTAGTGAATTTGTTGGAAAATCCTTAGTGTGGATAGCTAAGGTAGTAGACGTAGACTTTGGTTGAGAAAGTCGAACCACTCTAAATCGTTGTGCAAATATTTTCAATTTTCTGCAAAAGATTCCACCAAAATTTTTATTGCCAATTTACCCCCTCTTGGCCATTTACATCGATCGATTAACTCAACAATTGGTATCAGAGCCTCACTCATTTGAAGGTTTAACCACTTCTTGAGTTGATTTGGGAAGAGTTAAATCGATAAAAATGGCGTCCACTTCCGGTTCATTCTCCATGGAAGAATCCAGACCAATTGACGTGCCTCCACACTTCAACGGAATAAATTATCGTCTTTGTAAGAGGTTTATGATGATATTTATCCAAGTATTTGATATGAAAGCTTGGATGATAATCGAGAAAGGATATTCCTCTCCTACGAAGAAGGCAAAGAAGTGGGGTGATCAAGAACAGAAGAAAGCTCAACAAAACACAAAGGCTATGCACATGTTATGTTGTGCAATTGATCCTAATGTATATAAAGGAGTTTCTTCTTGTTCAAGTGCCAAGGAAATGTGGGATAAGCTTGAGGAGATCTATGGAGACAAGGAAGAAGAAGAACCAATAAAGGTGATGTCTCTATTAGCTCTCATAGAGCCAAAGATATCTTCTAACTCAAATAAATTAAATTCAAAATCTTTTAATGAGTTACAAGATGCTTATGATGAATTAGTTTCGGAGTTTGAGACCATGAACTCCAAATATAAGAATTTAATTTCTAAATTTATAGCTAAAAATGATTTTCTTTTGAAAGCTAAAACAGACTTGGAAAAACAAAATGAAATGTTGAAAAAGGAGTTAGAGCTTCCAAAACTAAAATCAGAAAACTTTGAAACAAAATTCAAATTAAACAAACTTCTTCTAGAAACGAAAATGGATTTTTAAAATCAAAATGAACTCTTGAAAAAGGATTTAGAGCTTTCAAAAATGAAATTTAAAAGTATTGAAAAAGAAAATTTTGATTTGAAAGTTAAGCTTGAATGCTTAACAAAAGAAAAAGAGATCATTTTAAATAATTCATCTAGTTCAATAATGACAATGTGTTCACATTGTCGTTATCATGGTCATAAGGAACGCATACTTGTCCTTTAAAGAAAGGAAAAAGATTTAAAATTAGACAAGTATGAGTTCCAAAAGGAACAAGGGGCATTGAAACTAACATTCACGGATCCAAAGCAATTTGGATACCAAAATCTACTTAAATGTCTCTTGTAGGAGTGTGGGAGTATTGGTGACAAAGATGATGATATTCAAAATGCTCTAGCCACACATGAAAAAAGAATGGGTAACCTCTAAACTTAATTAATTATTTTATTTGATTGCTCATTTAGTTTATGCATGCATGAGTTTTTAAATGTTCTAAATGATTATGTTTTATCTCATGTATGTTGAAAGATATTGTATGATGAACATAGTAATTTTTTGTAATGTTTTATAAACTCTAGTTCATCATATTAATTTTTGGTCAAAATTGTTTTTAAAATGTAATTGATATCTATTTAACAATTGATATCGATTTTTCAAGAACTTTGGTTTTACAAATTTTTGACCTTAAACTTTTTAATGTTTATGCATAGATTTCAAATTTTCAATGATATCAACTTTTAATGCATAACATCTTTAAAACATTATGCATATGCACTTAATCTCTATAATCATTATTGCATAATGTTTTATATGTGAATGGGTTAAAAGCATAATCTTTTGAAAAATGAATTTGATAAAAGATACAATGTCTTATTTTAAATGATTGCAAAATTGATTGACATTGCATCTATTTTGATTATGCTTGTTGGTCATAAAATAGGGACATATACATGGTGCATTTAGATTTTATTGATATGACTTATTTATGCCTAATTGCTAAGGATGAACATGACAGTTGGTTATGGCATAGGAGACTAGGATGAGTGTTTTGCAATGGTTAATTCAAGGTGACTTAGTAAGAGGTTTGCCAAAACTGAAATTTGATTATGATAAAATTTGTGATGCTTGTGCTAAAGGAAAACAAAAAGAGAATTTCTTTTAAATCCATTAATGACGTATCCACTAGTAGAGTATTACAATTGATCTATTTAGATCTTTTTGGGCCAACTAGGACTACTAACTTGGGTGGAAAATAATATGCATTTGTCTTGGTAGATGACTAGTCTAAATATAATTGGGTTCTATTCTTAAGTACTAAAGATGAAGCATTAGAAAAATTTATCACGTCTTCAAAAGTAATCCAAAACGAAAAAGGTTACTCTATAACTAGTGTTAGGAGTGATCATGGAACTTAATTTGAAAATCTTAGATTTACTAAATTTTG